AACAATACTCCGTTCAATTACACACTCTCTGACTGCAGTTCAATTACTCATTACCTCTCCGTCGGTCTTATATACACAAGACTACACTATATCTAGAAGGATCACGAGATTTAAGGAAAAGACGTGAAAGTTCGAGAATGACGTGGCGTGATACTAGTCACATGACCTCGATGTCGTAGCAATATATTCTTGTTGTCCCTGTGCGTGCAGGTTGTCTCAGAAATACTCACTAGGCGTAACGTACTGTAATAACATCGTATATTTTTCACTATTGTTTTTGCCACAGATACTTTTTGTTCAATGCTGGTATTGTAAATACTGGTGTATTACCTCAGCTCTACGCAAAAATAATGAAAAATGTTTTCAGTTTGTACTGTCTCTATGTGTGCAAGTTGTCTCAGAAGTACTCACATTTAGCTAAGCCTAATTTACTGTAATAACATCGTATGTTTTTCACCGTTATTTTCTGTTTAATGATAATACTGTAATAACTTGAATATTGCTTCATATCTTCGTAAAAAAATTGTAAAAATGTGAGTCAAGTTATTTGTGGAAAATCCACATTTTTTAGTTCATATATATACTGAAAATGGTGTACATACATAAAATAAAGTAACGTTGTGTTGTAGGCTCAAATTTTTCTGACGAAGTTTCATTTCATACTAAATACTTGAGCTCATTTAGATAAAAATTACTCCTACAAAAAAATTTAGTCTAGTGTTTTAGTTGAAGATTTGCGTTATTTCTTTATGCTGCTCTATGTTATAACTAAAAATTTTCTTGGTGAATTGGCTTATTATAATAATATATTTTCTATACAAACTATGTAAATGAGTAACACACACACACTTTCACCTTTGGTTTAAAAACTTTCATTTATACCAAAACTGTCACATACACATCACTACGTCGGTACAGCCCGGTTAGCATTTACCATCAAAAACCTATAAAGCTTTAAAGTATTCATACTTCTGAAAACGTATAAAAACAACAGCAGCAACGACAAAAACTTGACCAATACAAATACGTCTCAATATCACTAGATTATGTTTTCTTTCAGTACAATAACATCACATTAATTTGCTGTTGCTTGAAGAATACAGCAAGTGGTACTGGCAGTGGTTTGTCAGGTTTCAGCAAACCAGTAACTTATTTCACCGGTTATCACAAAGTACCATTGCACTATTCAGCACTCATCTGATAAAAATCCTTCAGCACGCTTTAATTCTATGACGTTTATTTATTATCAATCGATGAATAGAAAATTTCAGCATTTTGAAATGGATTTTCTTTGCAAAATAAATTTTTCCAACAAGTAATAACATCCGAAACATTCTTTTGAAATAAATAATCAACAATCTTCCAAGCTCAAATTGCACCCTGTTCACTTTACACGTGTGTGATGGACTATTCACACACGAACTACTTTCAAAACACAGCAGTAACACTAGTTACTATACCTTAAATATCTCTATCATGACCGCTGTTAAACTGTTTAATTAACAATTTCAAAACAAAATTACGTATCTGAGCTCTCCATCCTGTTACTGATGCAGCTAAAGATTTGTAAACTATTACTTAAAAAATATGAAGACGTTATCCAAGTAATTTCAATGACATTTTTTTTTCTATTTCTCACAGAATTTCCTTTTAGTTACATATATCAACAGCAAAATAATTTTAGTATCGCTAAAACATATTTAACTCACTGGTGACCATTCCTTTAACCACACCATCGCATTGTTTCTTGTGTTTTTATTACTCGCTTTAATACGGATTAAAACTTATTGTATATCTTGCTCTAGGTAATCACGATGAAATGTCTTTCCAATTTAAACGTTTCTTAAACTTTATTTTGATTTACTATAAACAATTTTCCTAATATATCGAAGTCTCGTCTTTTTAACAGGACATGCGAGATCGCGCATGCGAAAATAGCAATTTCACTCGGTAACTAACTTTGAATACTGTAACAATAAAAGTATAGAAAAGTCTACAAAAGAGCGGATTATTTGACAAGAACTGTGTTTCAAAATGTAATAAACTTATAAAGAAGTGTACAAATTTCATATGATTCACCAAATGTCTCGGTGTTATTTAACGATTTAACTTTTACTTATTGTCTGATTTAGAAATTCCGTTTTCAATGTTAATCTTCAATTCTACAAAATTATAGTTTTACTTCAAGGTTTATTTTGAAATACAGATTCTTTATAAAAAAATAAATATATAACGTTACCAAACGAATTTATACTTACATGGAAGTTACTAGAAAGGTACCAATGTAATACACTTTTTTCAGCTAATATTCTCTCATTAACTTTAGATGCAAATAATTATAACAGAAAATAATACACTTCTTCATTATTAAAACATTCGTTACAAAAGTAGAAACAATGATTTCAGTTTCTTATTAAATCCCGCTGTTTTTATAGACCATCCCTTCACACATCTGTAAGCACATGTCTACTCTAATGCACAACGAAACAACCATTTCCATTATAATTCAACGTCTTAAACTTCTTGCAATATCACAAAACTTGCTAAGCTCACTACTTTGATCAAACTCAAGTATGTCACATCCTACAAAAGGTACATGCTACAACATTGAAATCTCATGAACGTTTTTAAAATAACCTCTTGATTACACCACCTATAAATAAATAAAAAACGAACACTTGCAAGGATCTCCGTGAAAAGTATAAAACTTTTACCAGTGTTTTTAGTTTTGCTATAATACTCATCCGGATATTTACCCAAACTGGCTTTGACCGTCTCGTGAATCCGTAGAGCAAAGTTATCAAAGATCGATTTATACTACCGCCAATAAACGGCGAAACTGGCAGTGATGTGTCTACTTGTTAAATTAATTAAAAACACTGACCACCAAGGAAGAGAATATAATTTTAACATGCAGAATTAACTTAATGTATCATCCGTAAAGGAAAAGTCTTCAGAACAACAAATAACCATTACATCATGATTTTAGAGTATAATATTTAAAATACTTTCAAAAATAAATGAAACTGTAAAATCTCGAAACAATTTAACCACAATTTCAAACATTAAACAGTGAAAATGAACTTAAACGTGAAGCAATTCCACTTTTTGAAAAAAAAAACTCGGTTTATAATTATTTCAATATAATTGTTATAATTTTCATTTCAATAAAAGTTAATAACAACAACTGAATTAAGTGATTGAAATTATTACTGAACGACCACAATGTATCATACAATTTTTGACAATATTTCCTCGATCCCATTACATTGATTACTTATTACCCCATTGTCTATCTAATAGCAATGCTTCGTTTCTAAACACCTATTAATACAAAATAAAATTAACTTTATCTTAAATCAATTAACTATGAAGGGACTGATCTATTTTAAGTCTACCTCTTGACAAGGTAATTGATCAATTGATTTCTTTATGAAATTTCAAGTTAAACAAATTCAAAATACAATTTGATCGTATAGATCCAATTACTAAAAATGTAATTAACTATGCAACAATGAACATTTATGGTAATAAATGCAAACACTTTAAATAACAAAGAGTGTGTTTTAACTGCTTAGTGAATAAAGTAACAGATTTGCATTATACAAAACATAGCAAGTTAACTCTTAGCCAGCAGTAAAACATAACAGGCCTTACTGGATTAATTGATATGATATTTAACGTACTGTAGATTGACTAGGACAATAAGAATAATTTTAGAAAAAGTATCTAAATCCCAAAATACAGTTGGATATTACAACTGTTTTTTCAGTACGAAAATGTCATACTTTTTTCGTATACACACAAACAAAACAAAAAAACAATCAAGCTTTGAACGTTTTGTAAAGAATGGTGGTCTACAATTTTTACTCCATATTCGAAATTTTTTTTTCTACTTTCATTTTAGAAACAAAAAGAAACTTAAGGCAAGATTCAGCCTAGCTCTGATTGTACTGATGGCCATTCGACATTCAGGTACTTATTATTAAAGAAACTATTAACATATATAAATAAACAGCAGATACCAAAATGTTGTACAAATTAGTTCTGACTCTCCATTATTCCAACTGCACACAACTGGATTCTAACAAATAATTATAAAAAAAAAACACTTCAGCCTCCTTATAGTATGTTATGTATTATTTTCTAAAGTTCAAACCCCCTCCTTACTACACAAGATTCTCCAAATGTTGAACTTAAAGACAAAAATAAATTAGTGGGTTTGGTGAAACTGCACTAAAAATTAACAATCCTCTTTGAAAAAAATAATAATTTTCTTACATTTCCATGATGATGTACCATTCACGAAAAATATATATCAGCACACTAATCAGTTTATATTTTGCAACACTAAAGCATTTTTATCACAACTAATATTCTCAACCTTCAATATAAGCTATTACATGTATTTATAAAAAGTATAGTTGGTATATGCCAGAAATAAAGTAACTAAGTTATAAGGATTTTAAAATTTAGCAGTCTAACTATCTAGAAACAGTAAATGATAATGTACTGGAAAACTAACACTTGCAGCATCACAGTAACTGCACAGAATAAAAAAACTGTAAAACTTACTCACCCTGACATAAAAAGGAGGCAAATACTAAACTGATATTGAAAACAAGATTATATACAACACCTATCCAAAATGCTGCTTACACAAGGTACTGAGTATTTTCTATTTAATAAAAGTTAAAACAACACATAAAAGTGCTTGCAGTTCAAAACACAAACTTGATACCACTTATCCACATTCAAATAAGTTAATGATGGCCTCTCTTCACAGTTTTTTGTGTTTTAATTTAATAGTTACTTGCATTGATGTAATTAAGTGTTAATGAAAGAATATTATATTTATAATTTCTATGTCTTTTTTCTCATATCCTTTTTGGTATTAATTTTTCTAGTTCTTAAAGAAGACAAATATTTAAAAGGATTCTTGTGTTTCTAAATGATGCTGATACAAAAGCTGTGTAATATTGAATATAGAAGTTTCAAAGATACCAAAATGAATGGGCTCATTCTTGTCTGTTTGTTACATTGTAATGTTCAAGCATACAGTTAGCTTCCATATACCTGTCACCAAAATATTCTATTTTTTTGGCAAAAGTGTCAATATTTGCAGAAAGAAACTTTCTGTTCTTATGCTTATATTTTGTTAAAAAACAAATTTATCAGAGCCTGACCTGAAAGAAGTGTTTTTATAACTGTGCTTTGGATTTTACTGCCTTTATAACATAGATAATATAAAATATTACTCTTATGAAAAATGATTACATGCAACACCCATAAGTGGAAGAAAAAATATGATATTAAGAGTTTCATCTATGAAAAATTGAACTGGCCAAATTTTATGAAATATGTTTTGCACCTAAGGATTCATATTAATTTAAATCATCAATTGAAAAACCTTTTGTGTAACTTTAAAACAATGTCCAAATATTTAAAACTAATAAATCTTAAAGAGTTTGTGAAAATCCCATGTATTAGAAAATCCTACCAAAGTCTGTCATTGTTTACTCTACATTTATGGTATTTTTTAATATTTCTTCTTAAATGTTTACTAGGAATTACAACAAATGTTTAACATCAAAGAACAAAGAGAGGTTGATTAAGGTTTACACATATTAGCCACCAAGTGAACAATCCAAGTTCTTGTGTGTTGTACTTTTCAAGGTTTGATACCCTTACACAAGATTCAATTACATGAATTGTTAGTCTTTACTATTTACCACGAAAACCCAACATTAAAAAAAAATATATATAAAAACCCATAGCTTAACAATATTTATCAGTACTTACCTAGAAATAATCTAAAGCTACACTTTAAAAATGTATACAACAGGTTTTTTTGGCAGTTTCTAAAAGATGGCGAATACCATTTGCTTCCAACTTTAAAATTACAAAAAATATCTACCAAAAGACCCTGGTTACTAAAATCCAATAGGTAAGTGAACTGTAGTTGCCAGAAACGTATAAGGATACATGAGTCAGGGGGAAAAAATTCCTTTTAAATTCTATGCCTACTTGCACTGTGCATGATAAACAAAAAAAATTAAGACTGTTACTTTATTAAAATTCAGATAAATAGTTAAAAATATAAAATTTCTGGTAAATTGCATTTTGTACTAACTATACAATTAATGAGATGATTACAGACTCAAAAGCTGAAATAAAATAATTGTGATGCTTTGTATAGCCTTAAGAATTCCCACTACAAGGCCATAAAACTTATTATTGAGTATATCATGCATGAGACTTGTACTGATAATGTTAAGACATAACAATGATCCTAAGCTAAGCTGTACTTACCTGTCACATTTTAAAAAAAATCTGCATTAAAAGAGTAAATGCAGTAAAGTTCTTTGGTTAAAACCACAGTAAAGGCTATTGCAACATGTGAATCTTCTCTATTGAGAAAAGGTGATAAGAGTGGCTGGATTCCAGAGCCATCTAGTGCAATATTTTGTCATCTACAAATAATTTTCTGATGATATAAATTAGGCTTTGAGTTACTTAACCCATATTCAATTTTTAGTAATTTGTTTAACATTTTAAAGTAATAATTATGAAAGAAAAAAAAAGCAAGACATTTTTGTTTCAGAAAATGATTTCTCCAAATACAAGACACTCCTGATTTACATGCAACAAAATTTGCAAGAACAACTTTCTGTTTTAATGACTGTGTTAAAGAGTTTTGATATGGATCTTAAGAAGCTCCTAATAAAACAAGAACATGGATAGGAAAATGACAGACACCTAATAAAATTGTAGAGAATTTCAACTACTTGGGTTCAAGTATTTGACTTCATTTTCATTCAGAGTATAACATTCAATATTTTTGCTCTAAAGATGATGTATTGTAAAAAAATCTATGAAACATTAGCAATAGTAAGTTGCTTTCAAAAAGTGCAAGTAAACAATGAATAATTTACTAAATGTACATGGTCTAACTATTTAGCCAATATATAAATTTTCACAGGAATAATGTTAGGTTTTGTTGTATTGAACAGAAAGATAAAACAAAATGTGTGCTTCACTCAATTTCAACAACCACTTACGATGTTTCCATAGATGTTAATGGACTAACAAGTATTATGTATACAGGGAATAACTATGTTTTCTTTAGGAAAATACCCAACTACACAAAAAAGAAATTGTAAGAATATTCTCTAAAAAATACTGAATTATTCAACTAAAGATGCAAAAGGAAGTAAAACATTTCAATCACTGAAAATGATTTAATCTAATTAACAACAGTGTGTGCAAGATGAAAAAAAATGAATGACCTTTATCCAAGACCTTTTTTTTATGCAACATCGTTATGATTCATACCAACACCAGTTGTGGTCTGAATGACAAGTACTTTGCCAAGTATACATTAAATGTTGAAATACCTGACTGTTAACAAACTCTTACACAAAAGAATATCTTTATGCTAAAATTTCATTTTAAATCGTGACAAAATCCTTTTTAATGAGAAAAGATATATTGCAAAACAAAAGAAAAATAAACTTATTATACCCTTTAAACATAAACAAAATACAAAAGGAGGGATAATGGGTAAAATGGCAGTGTAAAAATGGGGATACCCCGAATCCAGCTAGGTTACACACAACTCTTATTAAAACACGGACAGTAAAACCATGGATGTAACATAACACATGGATTCTAAAACTATATACACAATTTATGTCCCCACAGGGTAACATATACTCATAATTTAGATACAGAAAAAAAAAAAAGTGTTATTACACTAACTACTAGCCACCCATCTTACTCAGGAAGAGGTTGGCATGACAACAGCACTAACTGTTGTGGCAGTGGTGGTCACTGTGGGAGAAGAGGTGGCAGGTGATGATGATGATGAAGATGGCACCAGTTTGAAGAAGTTCTTCAGAGGCATGAAAAGGTGTTTGATCACAGGTACGCTCCATGCTTTCCCAAGCAGCTGCTGACGCCGGCCAAGCGGGATGTTTCCAGCATCAGTATAATGTCTTGGAAAGCCAAAAACCCTGAAAAGGTCAGGTTTGGAGCATTTACTGTAAAAGTATTCAGTCCTGTGAAATAAAACATTAAAAATTTCATCTAATTAATCATCACCACAGAATTACCTTCAACAGTAGTAACGAAAAGTGGACAACTGCACTGCTGACCGGCAACAACTAAAATTTTTAATACCTTCACTCTCACCTGTAAATGCAAAAAATGTTTTTTCTCAAAGTATAGTTGTTAGAAGGTGATGAAATTTAATTACAAATAAAAAAAAATGTTTAATATTAAAGATTTATAATAAAATACTTGTTTCTAAACTGAAAAACTACTTTCATTCATACAAAATGAGATTTGAAGTACTTATATTTATAAATATCTGTGACTAATTCTTTGTAAAGATATGTTATATAATGTGAAAGAAATCATCTTCCTCTTTCCTGGTCACCTGGTGTGACAGCAGTAAGTCTACGGACTTATAACAAAATCCAGGGTTCAATTCCCCGTGGTGGACAACAGCAGATAGCCCAATATGGCTTTGCTATAAAACAAACAAACAAACCTCTTTCCTGAAATCATCTGTTTTCTGTTCTTTATAACTCTGAAAGTTTCATTTAATGTGAATCTTACTACACCAAAATAAAATATGACATGGCCAATGGAAAAACAATAATTTATGTTTAAACCTATGATGTTGTTAAATAACTAACTTAAAAGTGAAGAGGTATATTGAATGACAAACATAACACAGCTTAATAATCACTTTTGTAACTCAATAAATATAGACACAAGTTAAGTAGAAATGGCTCTGTTAGATGAAAAGTTATATGAAACATAGCAATTCTATCAAAGTGACAAGATAAAATTGTATCATGACATGCAACACAAACAGAAAGGTGGTAAAATGAGAAAACTATAATTATTTTTGAAAACTGAAACACAAAAAGTAAACAAATTAGTACTTGAAATAAAATAATATCTGCTTAAATGGGGAAGCAGCTATAGGCTATTGTTGTAGCCACTTTCTAATCTATATTTTCACTTTGAAGACTCGCCACTTTCTAATCTATATTTTCACTTTGAAGACTCACCTGCATACAACAATATGCAGGTGAGTCTTCAAAGTGAAAATACAGATTAGAAAGTAGCTACAACAATGTGAAGGTGAATCTTCAAAGTGAAAACATAAATTAGAAATCAGCTATAGTGATGTAGAAGTGAGTTTTCAAAGTGTAAACATAAATGGGGAAGCATCTAAATTGATGTGGTAGTGAGTTTTCAAAGTGAAACTATAAATGATAAAATAGCTATAGTGATGTAGTAGTGAGTTTTCAAAGCGAAACTATAAATGATAAAATAGCTATAGTGACTTATGGGTGAGTTTTCAAAGTGAAAACATAAATGGGGAAACATCTATAGTGATGTAGAAGTGAGTTTTCAAAGTGAAAACATAAATGGGGAAGCATCTATAGTGATGTAGAAGTGAGTTTTCAAAGTGAAAACATAAATGATAAAGTAGCTATAATGACTTACAGTGAGTTTTCAAAGTGAATACATAAATGCAGAAGAAGCTGTAGCAATGTACCAGTAAGTTTTGAAAGTGAAAACGTAAATGGGAAAGCAGCTGTACTGATGTATTGGTGAGTTTGCAAAGCAAAAACATAAATGGGGAAGTAGCAACAATGGTAAACAGGTGAGTTTTCAACGTGAAGGTATAAATAATAATGTATCTACAATGGTAAACAGACGAGTTTTCAAAGTGGCAATGTAAATAAGGAAGTAGGTAGAGTGATAAATTAGTGAATTTTGAAAAAGGAAACTTAATTCACTTAGTTTAGTTTTGAATGTATATGTAGTTTAAATGCAAAACCTTAACTTTTATGATCTGGAGAGAAAGTGTACAAACTGTTACCAAGGTATGTAAACCCCAGAAAGTTGTTTTAGTTATGAAATATTGTAAATTAATAATTATATATTATATAAAAAATAATAAAGAAATTTAAAGTAGGCAACACATTTTTAAAAATATCTATAATTCTATACATTAAAATATGTAGTCTTGAATTTTGTTTTATTTTCATTGTTGCAATTACTTAGTGAAACTTCAGTATGTTGTTATATTGGATTTCATAAAATGAGTTTGTTATATTTTGTTTTTTTTCCACTGTTTTGGATATTAACAAGTAAAAGTAATGTAAGACACCACTTACAACAGGTGAAGGAGTCTGGCAATTTGTTGTTCTACTATAAACACTGTGCAATGCTTCAGCAACTTACAAAAGATTAATGCATTGTGTTTCAGCTCAATTATCATTTTTATATCAAAATATTTTAATGACATCACAACCCATGGACACTTTTGCATTGTCCTGCAATAGCCTACAAAAAATGCTTCACATATTGTTTAAAAATAACTTCAGGGCTAACTCAAGAAACCTTTACTACTTCACTTGAGAGTTGCTGGAGAAGGAGTGTTTTCAGGTCCACAAAAGGCTGGAATAGCATAGAACTTGTCAACTGCAGGAATCATAAGTGATTTCAAAGGGTTTCTGGCTTTATCATTGCACTACTAGTCTTTTAATGAAGTTAGTTTCTCTGGCATAATAAATCTTCTCCACAAGATGTTGGAGAAACCACACAAGTACTACTGGACAGAAAAATGTGAATATCATTTAAATTTCTCAATGAATGTCTTACTTCAACACCAGTGTTAATCTACCTAATCACAAAAGAACCATTGATCCTAAAAACAGATACCAGTGACTCTGCAGTTGGGGCTATGTTATAACAACTAAAGGATGCATAAAAGAAAGTGACTGCTTACTTCAGTAACTCTAAGATTATCCAAACGAAGGTATTGCACTACATGTCTAAGTTAAGAATAATTTCTACCATAACAGGTTCACTTGGCAAACTTATCATCAAGTGTTAAAATGGTTAATGAATTTTTGAAATTTTAAGAACAAGAGAACTAGAAAAATTTTAGCAGTATAACATATACTACAGTGCACCATCTTGGATGAAGGAATGAAACATATGATGCATGGTAAAGGATATCTTGGGCATGTTTCCAGAAATAAAACATTGATGCTCAAGATTAATGAAAGTAGAATTTGGTATTACAATTACATAAATAAAAAGTGAAACAGTAATTCTCTGCAATCCCCAGACTAAAATGTGATCATCTCAGTTGAGCTCAATTTAAGTGTGTCACATCTTCTAAAAATTAGGGAAATATACAAGATGCCATAAGGAACAGATACAACTAATAATACAAAGATCACTCAAAACACAAGTGCATTGTCATTTCCTACATTTTTTAACTGCCAGACATTGGTGTTAACAAGAAATACTTTTTGGGGTTAGATATCACTGAACTGAGAAAAAGTAATGCAAAAACTGCCACTTATTCATGTATTGTGAAAGGAAGGAACAAAAAGTAATAACAAGGGCCATTTCAACCCTAAAACGTTGGAACACTGCTTTAAAGAGTAGCTGTTAACGTCTTCTTTGTTGCCTGATAAAGGCTCCAGTAAAAGGGCCAAAAGCTCGCAAATAAAAGAAAAGTATTTTAACGTAGAGAACATTCCATGTCTAATTCTACACTTGTTTCCTTACCACAGTCAAATTATAAAAGATAAATCGTGGTAGTAATGGACTGTTTGAAAATGTGGCTAGAAGCACTTACTGAACTACTATGAAAAGTTAAACCCTGATATACAAGCTAATCAGTGAGTTTGCATTGATATATGACATATTCATAAAGCTTCACTCTGATCAAAGAAAGAGACCTGGATAAGTACTTCTGCTGAAAAAATATTACAATGGCTTTCCATCACCTTCAGATAAAGAACTAGAATAATATAATGGTACACTGTAGAACCAGTTAGTCATGTATGCAGATAAAAAAAAAGGTTTGGAAGCAAGATCTATTACTTCTGCTGCTAAGCTCCAAAATGAATCTGTTTTAGAAAAGATTCAAAAGTAGTAGAAATATAAGCCAACAACGAAGCCCAACATTGTCATAAGGAGCATGTATGAAAAGCAAACATCCGTTCTTCATAATTGATAGTGGTAATATCATGGTATGAAAACAGCCCATGGACAGTCTGCAAAAGTGATGAAACCAAATGAGAGCCAATACCATTGAAATGACCCCTATAGTTTCCAGGAAAGTAAAGCACCACAGATGAAACTCAAGTACAAAAGACTTTCAGTAATTACTATACTAAAGAAGATGTATGAATCATGTGATTGTCTTGAATATGACAATAATTTACCACCAAAAACTGTTTCACCTTATCATCATCAGGCAATAAAAAAAAAACCCTAAAAGTCTTCAAACAAAGACGTGATAACAATAAAAAAAATATCCAAGGGACTTCACAATTCAGTAGTCAAAGTAAGCAGTGATTAGATAAAAAGACTATTTGACAAAACTAGAGTCTGTATAATTTAGTGATTGACTTTATATTCAGATATTTTCTTCTTCAAGATTTAGTCAGAAATTGATAAAAACAAATTGTTTTACGTCAGGTTAACTTTTGCATAACACGGTTATAGAGAGATGAAAGTAGGGCAACATGAAATCATGCTTATTTTGAGAGAAAAAGACAGCTGTTTTGATGTGAAGAAAAATATTAAAATTTAGCATGTTATTCTGTTGGATTTTTCTAAATGAATGAACTTCTAATAATTTGTTTTTTCTTTCGTTAGTCATTAAGACTTTTACTTTTTAATAAAGTTTAAACTATGAATCAAGCTGAAAGTCCAGTGTATAACAGTATATATTACTCATCCACTTACTGTTCAAGTTCTGTGACCCACAGAACATCACTCTCCCCATTCATAGTAACTGGCAGCAGACATTTCTTCCCTTGTCGGAGGGAGTTGCTGCGTGTTGTAACTGTTCTAATTTTCTCAACCTCACAAATGATAATAAAAAAAAATATTTCTGTAAAACAATCAGATGTAAAATGAGGGTTGTTTTAGCAAACTTCAGGTTTCCTTAAGATTCCCTAAACTGTACTTAAAAATCGAAATCATAAACCACAGGTCTAGGGATCAATGGCAACAAACTGGTTATCCATAATGTATTTTACACAAGGTTCATAACTTAAAGCAACTGCAAGAAAAGAAGAATAAGTCTGATCCTTCAAGAAACAATTAAATGTTCACATTACTTTATAATTAGAAAAAGTATGTTTTATAATAATGTTTTGCAATATCAGTATTAAAAAAACATCATTTATAATCATATTTGCTCGATTAGTTTAAATTTTAAAAATATTTTAGAATGTAATTATTTTCTAATATATTTCTTCTTTCTCTAATTAAGTATATGAAGGAAAAGAATGATTTTCTTTTCTGTTAGAAAAATTATTGTAGCTTGTTTTCGTTTTTCCATCTAGTTAAGATTTATAAATACAGTCTACACATTTTTATCACACTTAAATACTTTTCTATATTCAAAAATTCACTGTTCACTATGTGCACATTCAATGTAGCTTAAGCCACGTGAAAACATAAAGGAAAGGAAACTCATTACATGCCTGTTGTACAGAGTCAACTGATGCAAAAATTACTATTCTTTCAGTGGAGATTTTTATATACAGACTAGCATCACTATATCGCATGACCCTATCAATAATACTTTTCTTTCCAATGCATAATCAGTTTCTTTTTATGTATTCAGCTATAACCAGTTTTACATTTATGGATCCATGAGATTTTTATAGCTCTCAAAAGAAAGTTTTTTTCTTTATAAATTTTTGTAGCTCATTATGGATCTGCAAGTAGAATAAATCACATCAGCATTAGTTCTCAAGCTCATGTTTATGCTAAGCTAGCTTAGAAAAAAAAATGCAAGATTTTTTTGTCAAAAGAAAAAACATTTTAGGTTTGAAATATTTAGTTTAAGCTACCAAGATTCTCTTAGTCAATAACACAATATTTAACTTACAATGGCCTTCCTGTTAAGATGGGGTGTAATGACACTATCTAAGCTGATCGTCTGATGCAACAGATGATGCTGAAGAGGGCTGAAATATAATAAAATTAATCCATTTAATACTTCAGTTTCCAAGCAATATTAGCATTACTAAAAATCTGTATTTCATATAGAAATAAAGGTTTGTTAAATTAAAAGTGACTGTTCATCAGTCTATCAAAAAAATAACTCCATTTCTTTGAAATCTGAGTAAAAAAAGAAAGAGTACAAATAAAGCTTGGTTGTGTATGTCGAAGCTGAAATATAACCTGTTACCATTGTCAATAAATCATAAATAAACCAAAATTAATAATCAAAATAAACCAAACATGTGTTAATGCCAACAAATAAATATAACATTAAACAAAAGAAAATAAGATATAAAAAAAAGGAATCAGCCACCTTAGCAGCCTGATATATTTTATATAACAAATACTATTTTTTCTTCATGCAAACTGATATTGTTAGCTTCTTAAAAATGTCTTCAAATTGAAATTCACAGAATCAAGACACACATCCTTTAAAAACAAAGTTCATAAATATTTACTCATTGATTACTTTTTCCATATAATGACTAGTAAAGCAAGTCCATATGTAAAAATAACAATTACATATAAACTGATCTTCAGGTTTGAATACTACTAAGCACAATAAATAGAGCTATATGTATGAGCTGTTTTTTTATTTACCACACTAAACCTATATCTGTATTGAGCATCTTATTACTACTAATTTATTCTTGTAAATTATTCAGCTGTTTAAAATTTTTAAATTTCTCATCATCAAGTCATAAACTTCAAAGAAGAAACATAAAGCCCAATCTATCATTTGATTTGCCACTTGTTTCCAGTTTCAGGGAAGTCTTCCACCTCATCAGTAACACTGATAAGGCAAGTTTAAAAAAACATGACTAAGCAAGATTTATTAGTGGTCTTTTACTCACCATATTTCTACAAGTACTTTAAGATTATGTAATGCTACTAATTTATTCTTCTAGATTATTTAATTTGCCCTTGTTCAGAGTTACATACAGACATGGGATGCTCTCAAAACCAGTTTAACTCAGTGACAAGTAGCAAATCAAATGATAGACTGGGCTAAACATTTCCTTCACATTGAAGTTCATAATTTTGGTGGTAAGAATATGTATTGGTTATATTTTTATTACTGTTCAGTTTGCATGTACGTTCTGGTAATATTTGTAATATACGGTAAAACTTTCAGATTTAAGGTCTTTAAAACTTTCAAGTTTGTTACAAATTTTATAAAAAAATATATGTATACTTTAAGAATATTCTGGCATCTGATATAGGTAAAGACCACACATTTAAGTTTGCCAAAGTTGTAAAAATAATGTGGAAGATTTTACTGTTGGACAATTAGTACTCATAAAATCTACAATATAGTTTTTAAACAAGGAAAAGTTAATAGAATGAAATAAGTACGAACTTGCAACACTTACTAAATGTAAAAATAATCAACATACCACTATTATATTATTTGTTTTTCTATGGTAATAAGTGATGTAACCCACATGTATTGACAGGCAAGCCGTGAGGCATAATGATTTTTCAACTGTTGATGATGTACTACATGTGAATATAAAACATATACCATAAAATGTAAATATGCTAGTTTGCTTTTTAAGAAAAATATTTCTAAATCTACTTCTTCAAATCTCTTGTCCAACATATATAAATCTGTTGCCTAAGGGGTATGAGGGTATGTCATGTTTTATTCTGAGTTTGAAAACCACTTTTACTTAAAAAAAGTGTGTTTTTATCAGTATTCATTTACACTTTAAGAACCAAAGACTCTAAGAAAATTTTGTACTCTTGAACTGCTGTTTTTCAAAATCAAGAAAATAATTTTTATTTTTTATAATAAGAGAGGTTGCCTAGATATCAATATCTTACTGCAGTTTACAAGCTCTTAGGTAATAATAATAATAATGGGAAAATGTAAGATATTTTAGCTAATCATAAAATGAAGAGATGAAAAATAAAAACAACCATTGTCAGTGTGAAGTTGTAGTGATGCTTTGTTGTAATTATCATTTATATACAGTAAAATGTAACTGTTTCTTGAAGTTGTTTGTTTTTGGAAGAGAAATAAAGATTAAATATTTAATTTCAAATGTTTCATATCATTTTAACACCACTAAATAATAAAAAATAGTTTAAAAACAGCATATTTTACATACTGCCAGATAAAATCAGCATTCCAAATCTTGAGTGAATTACTACATGTTTACACTTCTAAACTACATAAACATAGGATTTGTTTGTTTATTTGTAGTTAAGCACAAAGCTACACAATGGACCATCTGGGCTGTGCCCACTACAAGTATTGAGACCCAATATACCACAAACCTACCGATGAGATACTGGGGAGCAGTAATATAGGAAAAACCATTGACAAAGTATCAGTAATAACTTAAACATTAGTTTAAATCTCTTATCAAAATACATTCTAATATATGTAGCTTATTACATAGTATAGGGAATAAAGTGAATATAATAGGTATAAAATGCAATAAATATTATGGGATTGTCCCCCTCCCCCTTTTATGAAAATGAACTGAACCAGAGTACAGTCACAAGTTGATATTTTACACTGTGAGTGATTGTTATCCCACTAATCAGACAGTGCCACATCACCACAATGCCTATAAAAGAATAGACACTCATACTATTCCTAGCAGTAGTGTGATAATGCACTCATTGCTACCAGAACAGAAATGTCATATGAGAAAGTGTAGAAATCAAAGTTTTGGTTGGTGAAGGCTACTCCATAGTGCATTTTAAGGCTAAATTTCATATTTTAGTATACCCTGTAAGGGAATTCTGAAGAGGTACTGGAAACTAGTAGTGTTAATTACAGAAAGATATCAAGGTAAAAACCCAAACTCTTCAAAACTGATATCAAGTAATAAAGAACAGTCTTTATATGATAAACAAAAGTCTAGTAGAGATCTTACAAATGATCTATGTGTAGATAAAAATGTGAATGTTACTTCCTAGCATGGTAAGATATATATACTACCACAAATTGACTGCAATGGATGTGCAGCTGCTTAAAAACCACTGCTTAGAAGAAATAACTAAACCAAAAGGCTTAGATTGGCATCAGACTTCAAACACTGGTATAAACAAAGCTATTTATAGAAGGATCCCAATACAGATTCTTGTGGGAAGGTACTATTTATAGAAGGATCCCAATACAGATTCTTGTGGGAAGGTACTATTTATAGAAGGATCCCAATATAGATTGTTGGAGAAAGGTACTATTTATAGAAGGATCCCAATACAGATTCTTGTGGGAAGGCACTATTTATAGAAGGATCCCAATACAGATTCTTGTGGGAAGGCACTATTTATAGAAGGATCCCAATATAGATTCTTGGAGAAAGGTACTATTTATAGAAGGATCCCAATACAGATTCTTGGAGAAAGGTACTATTTATAGAAGGATCCCAATACAGATTCTTGTGGGAAGGTACTATTTATAGAAGGATCCCAATATAGATTGTTGGAGAAAGGCACTATTTATAGAAGGATCCCAATACAGATTCTTGGAGAAAGGTACTATTTATAGAAGGATCCCAATACAGATTCTTGGAGGAAGGTGCTATTTATAGAAGGATCCCAATACAGATTCTTGGAGGAAGGCACTATTTATAGAAGGATCCCAATACAGATTCTTGGAGGAAGGCACTATTTATAGAAGGATCCCAACACAGATTCTTGGAGGAAGGCACTATTTATAGAAGGATCCCAATACAGATTCTTGTGGGAAGGCACTATTTATAGAAGGATCCCAATATAGATTCTTGAAGAAAGTTACTATTTATAGAAGGATCCCAATACAGATTCTTGGAGAAAGGTACTATTTATAGAAGGATCCCAATACAGATTCTT